AAAAAAAAAAAAAAAGGCGAAATAAATGAAATGAAATGAAATGAAATCATCATCATCATCATAATTATCATCACCAACAACAATAATAATATTGATAATAATACTATAATTATATACATAGTAATAACGATTATGTAACAGATACTGATGTAAAGACTAATGTTATAATTTATATTCACAATCGCAATGTGTCATCAAAGTGTAATATTAATATCAATTTTAAAATATTTACGATTAAAATCAACAGGAGCATGAATAGTAACAATAACATAATAACAACAACATAATAATAATAATAATAATAATAATAATAATAATAATAATGATAATAATAATAATAATAATAATAATAATTATTATTATTATTATTTTTCCTTGCTTTGCCAAAGCATAGGCCATATATCAAGGATGTGCCTCCTAATATTTAGTGTCAATCTATGGTAGGGTGTGCGTGTGAGGACCAATTAAAGTGATTGAAGGTCAAACAGTCTACACCGGATATTTAAAAAACCGGTCAGTTGATCTGAATGAAATTTACGGGAAAGTCTAATCACGTTACAAGGAAGAAATTTGTATGTGTCAGTGACGATCCAGTGAAGAATGGGTCTTTTCAATTTTTAAAGACCCAGACCTAAATATCTCTTTAAAAAAAAAATGGGTCTAAATGAAATATTCTATAATGCTTAGTAATGGTCTTGTAAAAAAATATTAAATATTTGTGACGATCCGCAGTGGATCTGAGGACCAGTTAAAGGAAAACGTCCCATACCACATATTTCGAAAACGGATCCACTGATCGGAATGAAACATTCGGAAAAAGTTTAACCAAGTTACAAGGAAGAAATTGTTATGTGCTGGCGACGAATCAGTCAAGGGTGTGAATGGGAGGGTCATTTCAATTTTTGAGGACCCAGACCTAAATATCTCTTTAAAACAAATCAATGGGTATAACTGAAACCTTGTATAAGTTTGTCAAGGTCGAGTAAAAAATGATTACATTTTTGTGACGATGCGGAGTAGGGTGTTGATCTGAGGACCATTAAAAGGAAAACGTCCCAGACCACATATTTCGAAAACGGATCAACTAACCTGAATGAAACTTTCGGGAAAGTTTAACCAAGTTACAAGGAAGATAGCATTATGTGTTGGCGACGAATCAGTCAAGGGTATACATTGGAGGGTCATTTAAATTTTTGAGATCCCAGACGTAAGTAATCTATAAAAAGTTTTCAATGGGTGTAAATGTAACTTTTTATAATAGTTTGTAAACGTCCAGTAAAGAAATGACTGAATTTTTGTGACAATCCGGCGTAGGGTGTGAACATGAGGACCATTTAAAGGAAAACGTCCCAGACCAGATATTTCAATAACAGGTCAACTTTCGGGGAAGTTTAACCCAAGTTACAAGGAAGATATTATTATGTGTAGGGGACCATCCAGGTTAGGGTGTAAATTTGAAGGTCATTTAAATTCCTTACGTACTAGTTTTAGGTAGATAAAAATGACACTTTGCAGAATAGTTTTCATGGTGAAATGAAGTAATGATCCAATTTTGGTAACGATCCGCAGTAGGGTGTGGATATGAGGACCATTTAAAGATTTTTTGATGACAGTTGATTAAATTATTTAAACGCAATTTGCGTTTTGTAAGGTGCTTAATCAAGTTACATCTAGGATAAACTCAAAACTACCGTGATATGCATAAACATTTTTGCTCTTAGTCATTAAATCGCTATGAACTGAAAATGCACTTTCCTATGCAAGGGCTATTATCTCGCTATTATCATTGCAGCCATAGTTCAAGTCTCACTAATAACATCGCAGAGAATTTGGTTTTCGTTTTTTTTTTCTTTTTTTCCCACTTCATTAAAATTATATTGGTTTTCCGTGTTTTTTTTACTTTATACCTTTTAACGACTTTTCTTTTTGTTGCAGTTTCAACTTCATTTTTCATTAAAGCAATGGGGAAAAGCCCTATGTTCTGTAGTTCAAATAGACATAGTAAGTCTAGTTATTATTATTATTATTATTATTATTATTATTATTAATAGTAATAATAAAACTATTATTTAACAGTATATAATTGGCAACAACGATGACATTAATAACGCCAATGATTAAATAACACTAACATTTATTCTCCTATATTCCTATGAGTCATCGTAATCAATGTCTAATATTATTTTTTGAATATTAACGGCAATGTTTGTATACAGCGGATACAGATTTATTATTGGTTCGTCATATTTAAGATTATTGAGACCATCGATGAACTGCCGCTTTTTCCAGTGGTTCAAGTAAGAAACTCTGCGGAGAAAAAATATTCAGACCAGTTAACACTTATTATTATTATTATCTATATATCTATATCTTCATTAATATAATCGTCATCATTACCAGTGTCAGTGTTATCGTTCTCGTAAGTCATTCACATATATATCAGTAAAGAAAGGTGAGTATTTTATATCAAGTATAATGGGTAAAATAATACGGTACCGTAACATGTGATATTAACTGTAAGCGATCACGTGGTATTAGTGTAATAATGCCGGAAATGGCAGCCCCAATGCAATTTTCTTTTCCTGAGGCCCCCTTTAATATTATTGTATCATTATTGCTTTTTAAATTTAAATAATTTAAACCTCAGCTTTATCATGGGTTGGTGGTGGCGTTGAAGTTGAAGTATAAAATGTTATGTCTGTCATTTCCAGATGGCCGGAAATGGCGCCCTTGGACTAAAAAATTGAATGATGATGATAATGATGATGATAATGAGAATGATGATGATGTGATGATAATGATACTGATGGTGATGATGCTGATGATGGTGATGATAATGATTGGAGCAGACGAAATATCTAGGTCTATACTGCTTTCTGAGTTTGATCCTGCAAGTGAGGCGGAAATAAATGATATTGTTAGAAGTTCGCCTTTGAAATCTGGTCATGATGCCTTTATTCCTATCATAACTAATATTGTAAATAAATCTCTTTGAAGTAGGTCTTTTCCTGATGCGTTGAAAGTTGCGCATGTTTTTCCTACTTTGAAAAAACCCAGCCTAGATCCTGAGGTACTCAAAAATTACAGACCTGTTTCTAATTTAAGCTTTCTTGGTAAGATAATTGAAAAAGGTAGTGTCTAAACGATTATTGGCCCATGTTAAAGAACATACTTTACTTGATTCGTTCCAATCTGCTTACAAAGCACATCATAGCACTGAAACAGCCACAATGGTTCAAAATTTATATCCTATCTATTCGGGATATAATTTGCAAATATAACTTGTCCTACCATGTTTATGCTGACGATACTCAGATTTACCTCTCGTTTAAGCCGTCCATGACGCAACTTCACCTATCTTTAGAATCACTCGAAAATTGCATTTCCGAGTTACGTGTTTGGATGAAGCAAAACTTCTAAAATTGAATGATGACAAAACTGAATACATACTTCTTGGGTCACGCCAACAATTGGAAAAACTTCCACTGAGTAATATTGGGGAAACCATAATAGGCTCTGCTGCGCAGGTCAGAAATCTTGGTGATACTATGGATGCTAATATGACAATGAGTAGACACATTTCAACATCTTCATTTTATTTACGTAACATTAGAAGCATTAGGAAATCATTGACAATGCAGCTGCTGAACAACTTCTTCACTCATTTGTTACTTCACGCCTTGACATGGGTAACTCGCTCTTGCATGAACTTCCACATAAACAAATCCAACGGCTTCAACTCATTCAGAATGCTGCTGCACGAGTAGTTACCAAGTCATCCAAGTACTCACATATAACAAATACTCTGATCTTTACATTGGCTTCCGGTACAGCACCGCATTGTATTTAAGATATTATTAATAGTTTTTAAAGGTATAAATGGTTTGGCACGTGACTATGTTGCTGACATGTTTCGGCCTTATATTCCTGGGCGTAACTTGCGCTCTTGTGACAAACTATTTTTACATCAACCAAAGTCATATCACTCTTACGGTGATCGAGCTTTTAGTATTGCTGCTCCACGTCTTTGGAAGGCTTTGCCTTGCTCCGTCAAACACATTAAATCTTTAAATTTGTTTAAAAAAATCTCTTCACCGACGCGTATAGAGAACCTTGATGTTTCTCTGTTGAATTTATATTAATAATAAAAAAAAAAATGATACCACTTTTACTCTGTCGACGCAATGTTGCTTCTTTTGCAGTGGACGGTAGTGGAGCCCTGGGCTTATCCTGGGGTGGAAGGTGTTGATGCTCAACATACTGCCTTTGTGTATCTGCGCATACTTATAGGGGGAGCAACACAGCCTCGATGGGATAATTGGTATGCGGATCTGCTCGACATTCTTCTGGAATTCATTTGGATTTTCACCAAGGCGTATAGACTACCTTGATGTTTCTCAGTTGAATTTATATTTTTTTACAAAAAAAAATACGGATTTTTCTTGAAATTCTTCTGGGAATTATATGGATCTTGTGGTTTAATTGACTATGCGCCTTGAGCACCATTGGTGAAGATGTGCGCTTTATAAATCTTTATTATTATTATTATTGGTGACGGGCCCCAACAAGATAATTGAAGGGCCCTTGATGTGAAGCCCGGAGGCACGGATAGGCCTACAGCTTTCTAACCATTGATTGCGCAAGTGAGTCTCAAGCTCATTTTAGCTGGGAGTACCTTTAAGGGTCTTAAAAAGCACCTGATCACATCCAGAAACAATTGGCTCCGGTGGCGTCTACTAAGCGAAGCTCTTAATTAACGTGCATAATTGTTATATTAAAATATTAAAAAAAAAAATATATATATTAAAGGATGTTGAGAACAAACTGGTCAAGTTGCATATTATATTTTAATTCCTTTGAGACTTCTGGGAATTTAAGTTCAAAGTATAATACCAATAGGTGTAATGTAACAAAATACATGCCGTTTTTAAAAGCTTTAAAAATAACTCAGTACAGTACACTACAGTAATTACAATTTGTGTGAATTCTATGATATCCTGGCCTTGCGCCTTGTGTCGAGAACAAAATAGTTTAACTCCTTAGTGCATCGTACCGTGGTACTGCACTACACTACAGTAATTACAATTTGTGTGAATTCTATGATATCCTGGCCTAGCGCCTTGTGTCTTTAGTGCATCGTACCGTGGTACTGTATCGACTGAAACAAATAGCCTTTGAAATAATTCCAAGAATACGAAGCAGTTCATGGATTATTGTTGTGAAAAAAAGTGAAAAAAAAAAAATCAAAGAAGCTTGTCATGGTTATTGAAATCTTAAAAATGTTGACAATCATCTACGTACTTGCGGTGAAGCAAATCTGAAAAGTATTCATGAAGTATGCTCACCCGACCTTATTGGTGATCCGCTAACGTTAGCGGATCACCTATTGTTATTGTACGGAATCATCATCTTCAACTTTCTTATTCTTCTTTCTTTCTCCCCTTTTTTGTTCGCACGATATCTCAAAAAATGCCACGAGTTTACGCACAATCGCTGTCAGCGAACATTTGGCTTGGTCTGGATTAGTCATGGTAAGCTTTTCAACGCGCTCAGTCATGCATGACGTCATGTACGTGCAATTTTGCGTTTTTACATTATCGATCATATCAGCCTAACCAATTGCCATTTCGAAATCGTATTAAGTGAGCATTAACTTCGGGTTAATGTTGGATGTACTGTACCCTAATTTTATGCGTGCGTTTCATAATGCGCGCGCACGCGTGCGTTAAAATTTTAAAATGCTCCTAATCACTTTTTAACTTAATTAGAGCACGTTTTAGGCCATTTTGAGCATTTCAATTTTTTTTTAAATTTTCCACTACGCGCGCGCATTTTGACGCGCGCA